CACTCACCTCAGCCTCCCAAAGGCACGGGATTACAGGCTGAGCCACCGAGCCCAGCTCATTTGGATCTTGTATAGAAATCAGCTGGGCACTGTGGCTCATGCCTGTAATCCCAGCACTTTGAGAGGCAGAGGGCAGAGGATTGCCCGAGTCCACTAGTTTGAGATCAGCCTGGGCAACTTGGTGAGACCGCATCTCTACAATAAATCAAAAAATTAGCCGAGTATGGTGGTATGCACCTGTGGTTCCAGCTACTTGGAAGGCTGAGGCAGAAGGAACACCTGAGCCCTGCAGGTTAAGGCTGCAGTGGCCATGAACCTGCCACTACACTTCAGCTGGGCAATAGAGTGAGACTCTATCTTAAAAAAAAAAAAAAAAAAGAGAAAGGAATTATACAACATGTGACATTTTGTATTTGACCTCTACCTTAAGCAGGATGTTTTAAGATGTAGCATGTATCCGAATTTCCTTTTTAAGGCTAAATAATATTCCACTATATGAATATACCATAATTTATTTATCCACTCATCTGTTAATGGGCATTTGGGTTGGTTCCACCTTTTGACTTTTGTGAATAACACTGATGTAAGCATCTGTGCATACGTTTTCTTTTTTTTTTGAGTTGGAATCTCATGCTGTTGTCCAGGCTGGAGTGTAGTGGCACGCTGACGGCTCCCACAGCCTTGATCTACTGGGCTCATGTGATCCTTTTGCTTCAGCTTTCCAAGTAGCTGGAACTACAGGCATGCACCACCACGACCGGCTAATTTTTTTAATATATATATATAATTTATTGTAGAGATGAGGTCTCACCATATTGCTCAGGCTAGTCTCAAACCCTTGAGCTCAGGTAATCCTCTTGCCTCTGCCTCCCAAAATGCTGGAATTATAGGCATGAGCCACTGTACCTGGCCCATTTTCTTTTGGGTACATATCTAAGAGGAATTGCTAGGTCTCTTAAATTTTTTTTTTTTCTAGTTCCCCAATAAAGAAGATTCATTTCATAAGTTTGTGGCTCCTGAAGAAGTCCTTCCTTTCACCGAAGGTACAGAAGCTGTGTGTGTGTTTGGGGATTTTGTGCATGCATGGTTTTTAGTGGTCAGTAGGACTGAATGCTGTTGGGTGGTGATTTTTATCAAATTTCTTATAGTGGCTGTTTTCTTCAGTGGCTTGAAGTGCTGTGGTACCTGAGTCCATGTTAATTTGTTCTGAGACTAATAGATTTTAGCTGAGTTGTTGGGGCCATGGTGGGTTGGATCAGCCAGCATGACTGGGTTTGGCTTTGCACACTGTTTGAGATATGGACAACCGAGTGGGAAGGAGTGCCTGTTTGCGGTTGCTGTGCGGGTCGTTCTGATGAACCGGCTGCCAGAGGAAGCAGGCTCTGGGATGTTCCTTCTTAGAAAGCCACCTGTAGCCTGGGTCCCCTCGTGTGCTAGAGTCCTTTTCTCTGGCTTCTTCTAAAGGCAGTGTGCTGCTCAGTGAGCCTGCTGCCTCATTAGCAGCGAAGCTGGCCTTATACCTGCGAGCAAAGCACAGTACTTGGGGTGCTAATTCCTCTTGGAAGTTGACTGACTTCATCCCTGTATTTAAATGTTCTTTCTCAAGTAGTAGTCACTGAGCACCGCATCCAGCACTGTTCCAGGCACTGGGGACATCACAGTGAACAAAACATAAATAAGGGCCCGCTCCCAGGACATACACCCTGTTGCTGAGGACAGATGAGAAACGTCAGGTCATGGATGTTTTAGGAAAGAATCAAGCAACGGTGACATGATGGGATGTGGCTAGGGGACTCAGACTAGGGAAGGGTCTTCATGAGATGCCATTTCAGCTGAGTCCTGCATAAGTGGAGTCCCCCACGTGAGGATCGGGGAAAGGGTTTTCCAGGCACTGGTCCAAGTGCCTGAGTTGGGCCCTTGGAAGGAGATGCCATGTGGCTGGAGACGGGCAGCGGGAGTGGAGCCGGCTGTAATTAGCGGGTGTCGGGGCGGGGCCTGCCACACTGTTTGCAGTCCCGACTGACTTTCATTCTAAGGGCTGTGCAGAGGTACAGGAGAGTTCTAAGCAGGGAGCATCATGGTCTGAAGTCACTTCTTGGGGTTTGCGTTTGGCCACAGCTTCCTTCCTCGGGCAGCCAACCTGCCTGCACCATTGAGCCTGGAGTCTGCACACTTGGTTATTGGCATAGAAACCTCTGTTCACCTCAGCTCATGTTCTTGCCTTTCAGGGGACATTCTGGAGAAGGTCAGCGTCCACTGCCCCGTGTTTGACTATGTCCCCCCGGAGCTCATCACCCTCTTCATCTCCAACATTGGGGGGAATGCCCCTTCCTACATCTACCGCCTGATGAGTGAGCTCTACCACCCTGACGACCATGGCCTCTGACCTCTGTCCTCAGCAGACACTGCTCAGGGACACGGGAGACGGCGGGGCTGTGGAAACGCTCTTCCCTGCAGTGGGGAGTGGCCAGGAGTCAGCTAAATACCCTGACACCGCTGCCTTTCCAGTCGAGGGCACACGTCCAGGACTGTTTCTTGCCTCTTGGGTCTTAGCAGAGCAGCAGGGCTTAACCTATTGGTTTTGGAGCTTCTGAGTGACCTGGTGGCGTCTGTTTCAGGAACTTAAACTTTCTGGTTCAGTGGTGTGTTAAACATAACACTGACTACCTTGCTGGGATACAGATTTTTGCTCAGCGATGGCTACCACACCTCTTCCTAGGCTGTGCCAATAAAAACTACTTGAAGGTTCCTGGGCTGGTTTATTTCTCGTCCTGCTCCAATTGCACTGCTTGAAACAGTGGCAGGAGAGTTTTCTCATGTTTTCTTAAAGGGTTTTAGTTAAAGGGAATGTCTAAAACATAGAAGTACAAATGAAAGCATTCACAGTTGCCTTTGTAAGTCACTGGAAATGGCCCCAACAACCTGTTTTAGTAGTCTTTAGAGTGATTCCAGAACCTCTGTGATCAAAACCACCTGGGAACCCCAAAATCCACCATCTTGGGCTTCATCTCAGGCCTGCTACATCTGATCTCTGGGCACCACCTAGGAGTCTGGTCCAAGCTTTCCAGAAAAGGATCCTTTCATGTCCTGTTTATAGGACTGTAAACTGGTACAGCCTTTTTGAGGGCAGTTTAGAACCTGCCCTTCTAGAACTATTTGTACAAACACACAAAGGTTTATACGAGCCTGTTCAGTATAGCAGTTACGTCACAGCCTGAGTGTCCAGTAACAGGAAAAAGGTTAAGTAGCTTGACATTTACATTGTGGAATATTCCACGGCAACAGAAAGTTCTGGAGGGTAGCTTGCAGGTAGTACCTGTACTGAAAACGTTTTGAAGACAAATGCAGGTTTACCCTGCATTTAATATGAATCAGTTACCAATATTTAAAAATCTGGGGATGACAGTCAAAAATCCAGGTTTCTTGCTTTTCTTGATAACTCAGATTTGGCAATTCTGGGCCAACATTCCTCAGTGGCAGTGGTTGGCTGTAGTTTGTAGCATCTGGTTCTGTTCGATGGAAAACCTGCAGTTTTCTGCAGGTCCTACTGGATCATTTAACTCTTTTGTGTTATCTGCCTAATCCCTGTAGGTATGAATTGTAACCCTGGTGCAGAAAGAATGGGATAGATTTGTAAGGAAGTTCATTTTATGCTCTGTTAAAAACAAGCTGGGAAGAAACCAAGTGCAGAGCAATGTGCTTAATATGACCCTTACTTCATTCAGACAGAACTCTGTACATGCATGGAAAAGTTTAGAAGTATTAACACTGAGCAGTGGCAAGCAGGGGGCATCCGGTTTTATTTGCTGTGTTTAAAATTGTTTCCACAAAAGTCTCCCCAAGTGGGCTGCCATGTTTAAGAACCAGTGGCACAAAGCAGAGCACCCCACTGCCCGCTCATGCATCTGTGGGTGGAGGCAGCGCAGGGCACTGCACGTCTGCTTACTTTTTGAGTTGGAGTCTCTGTCTCTCAGGTGGGAGTGCAGTGGCACACTTACAGCCGCTGCAGCCTCACCCTGCTTGGTTCAGGTGGTCCTTCCGCCTTAGCCTGGCAAGTAGCCGGAACCATGCCCAGCTAAGTTTTTGATTGATTGTAGACTCGAGGTCTGCCATGTTGCCCAGGCTAGTCTTGGACCCCTGAGCTCAGGCAATCCTCTGGCTTCCATCTCCCAAATTGCTGGATTACAGGCGTGAGCCACTGCGCCAGGGTGACTGCATGTTTCACGAGCAAGTGGCTGAGAGACTTTAAACCACACTTGGGTCAGCACTGGCAGAGGCAGGCTGCGAGGGCAAGGCCACTTCTCTTTGGCACCTCTTTGAGACAGATCTTTGCCTTAGGCCTCTTGTCCTCCTGAGAGGAAAAAACAGGACTGAAGAGAGCTAGTATTTTAGGCTGACCTAAAAGCTGTGTGACTCAGAAGAGCCTGACTCACCCCGGCCCTAGCCTGTCGATTTCTTGAAGTATCCAAGACCCCACGCTTTCTCAGTGAAGTGGCTTGTGGCTACCAATTACAGCAACTGTCTCCGCCGAAGGCACCGATTCTCAAAGCAGTTCACTTGGGAACGACTGTGTGGTTTGGAGTAAGAGCGGCAGTGGGGCAAGGAACTCAAATCGGTTCCAGGCTCCAAAAATGCTTTATGATACTTGTCCTTTGTTCATCTCGGTCTCTGTGTCTAAAACTGGCACCAACATCCTTCCTAGGCATGACTGAGACGGACCAACATTACCAGGGGAGAAGCTCTGTTCCATCCCTTTCTGGGGAGAAGCTCTGTTCTGTCCCTTTCTGGTCAAATCAATTTTTTAAAATCTACATATTTATTTTTAATTTGTATTGCATTATCTTTGTTGCTTTATTGTTTTGATAGAGGGTGCCAAAAAGTGTACACATATTTTATGAAAGGAAAAACTGTATTAAAATTGTAATACTCTATATATACCGATAACAAAAGATGAATACAAGTCATGTTTGACTTCCGCAATTACAAGAGGTATTCAAAGTTGTTACCATCAGAGTCCAGACACCTCTGATTACAGTGAACTATTGCAGGACTTACTGCTGTGCGAGGCCTCCCTGATTTTCCCCTGTGCACAGCACACAGTGCCATGTGTCTCAAACTTACCACAAATGCATGCAATGGTTAAACGTGTTGGAGGTTCTGTTGCATACTCATTCATTCCCCTTCTGGTCAACTTCTTACAGTGCCGAGATCTGAGCTGCAGGAATACATATGCTTCAGAATCTTTATGGCCTCAGTAGGTAAACCCCCAAAGTCTCGTCTGCCTACTTCTCTCCCTTTTCCTATTTGAGGAGAGGTGAATACTGGAAAGAGAACCTAGCAGAACAGGAAGGAACAGGAATCCGTGTCGAATCACCACCCGACAGCCTTTCTTGTGCCTGTTTCCTGCCCCTGCCTTGTAAGCAGGGCCCAGAAGCTCAGGAAGAAACTTGTAGCTCAGAGGGAATTAATAGCACTAGGATTCCATGCTATGAAAGTCTTCCTGAACATGCTAAATAAACCAAGTTAGATAACAGTGCAGTCTGTAAAGACACTTTTTCCCACGGTTTCTATCTTCCAATCTGGGTGGAGAGGAGGAAAGGCACCATTCTTGGAACTCAAATAAGGAACAGAAATTCCTAATTTAGCCTCAGAAGAGAAGTCTGAAAAATACTCGATAGGAAAAACTGAAGTGTAAAGTAATACCTCAAAGAAGTCAATGTTGGTACCCACAGCATCATAAGTTTCACAGATGTGCTTCAAAACTGTTTCTCAAAGCAAACGTTGCATCAGTCTCTGGGCTAATGACAGCTGCTGGCCACACAGTTCCCTTGTGAAGCTACATGACTCCATAACACTACCTATGGTGAGCTCAGCACATCAGAACTGCTTTGCCACAGACAGTATCAGATGGCGATGTGGTTATCGTAAAGGCCTCATACTATCCACCTGTCTCACAAAAACTCCCTCTGCTGCCTAGTTGACACAAAAGAGCTATTTTGCAATGTGGTTTAGAAGTGTTTTCCATGTGGTCTACTTTGCTCTGAACTATGCTTACCCAGGATATTGTGTGATAACTAGGCAAGTAGGATTGATAAAAACCTGTAGTCTAAGCTTCCAGTCTCCACATCACTCATACCATGGAGGGCAAGCCTGCAACCTAGCTGCACTTTGAAACAGTGGTTGCTTGATGTTTATATTAGTATTGTGCTGAAGAGATGTTCAGTAATGTTTTCTCTTTTCTTTTTTTGAGTTGGAGTCTCACTCCTTTGCCCAGGCTGGAGAGCAGTGGCACGCAGGCTCATGGCCACCCCGGCGTTGACCTGCTGGGCTCCGGCGATCCTTCCGTCTCAGCTTTCCGAGTAGCTGGAACTACAGGCATGCGCTACCACGCCTGGGTATTTTTAAATTTTTATTGTAGAGACGAGATCTCGCCAGGTTGCCCAGGCTGTCTCGAACCCGCGGGCTCAGGCAATCCTTGGCATCCCGAAGTGCTGGGATTACAGACTGAGCCACCAAGCCCAGTCTCAGTAATGTTTTCTCAGGCACGTTAAGTTTAGAATTAAGACCTACCTAGAGCAGAAGCTACTTAGTGGTGAAGAAACAACAGGATTCCCCAAAGTTATCATGTATATGTAAAATCCTGCAGTGAACTAAAATGCAGTGTTGAATAACATTACCCATAGAGGCTCACGCCAACCCTTCTCTTTTGGTTGGTTGGTTTGGACCTTCTTTGCTTTTGAAGAAGACAAGAGCAAGTTGAAAGGCCAGAGTCAGGCAAGGTTGGCCAACCCCGCCTGTTGGACTGCTGCTTGGCACGTGCGAGCTTGCTGGCTTGATAGATCCAATGTGCAGGACAGAGGCCCACAGCCTTGAGCAGGTGCCTGGATTTTACCAGATGTTTCTGGGTAGACTGAGGGCTGTGTTCCATCTGGGCTGGGCTAAACGATCCAAGGGTTGGAAACGTAAGCCATGTGATGACCCCTTTTCTTCACATCCACACCACCTCAATGAAATAGTTAGAAGGGACGCACTACAGAGCTCCTGAAGGATGGCAACAGACAAAAGGAGGGGCTGGAAGGAAGAAGGAAAGGAGGCCGTTTGTGCAGATTATTCCGCATTTGGTTTCCAGCACTCCTCTCCCCTGTCCCGGCCTCCCTTTGTGTTGTCTCTGCCGACAGGTGGCTCAGCTGAGAGGGAAAACAGGCGTGACATATGCCGGCGGGTTCTCTCTGTTAGCCTTTACCTTTGGGGAGGTTTGGCGGAATGAGTGGTTCTTCAGGTGGGAAACAGGTAGTGAGAGAATCTGGGTGCCCCAAACTGCTCCTCCTTCCAGATGTGCTGAGCTGGGTGCCCACCTGAGGCAACAGCCAAGCTGGCCTGCTGAGCTCTCGAGGAGCGGCTGAGCTGCGTCTGCTCTTCTCAGCTCGGCCTCCTCAGCCCCCCCACATCTCGAGGATTGGGCCTCAGGACCCTTCTGCTTTGCCCGTTTTGCTTGCCATCGTTTTTTCACTGTCTGCTATGCCCAGATCCCGGCTGTTCGCGTGTGACCTGTGACCACGAGCCCCTTCGTTCTCATGCCCGTGTAGTTCTAGATCCCAGCCAGGCTCTGGACCTTGCCCGGCCCCCTTCCCCAGCCCCCGTTCCTTCCAGCCTGCTCTATGCTTTGCCTTAGGCTTTTCTGATCCGAGCTCCTACTGCCAACTACAGCCTTAATTCTGACAGTGGGACTGTGACCTCCTCTTTACTCAGTAAAGGAGAGCTCACTGGGACTAGCGGGGACTCAGTGACCCCTATAGCTAGAGGAAATGACCATATTCTAGAACCACTTTCCTTGTCCCTCTCCTTGAGCAAAGTTAAGCCTACTGAAGGTAGAGACAGCTAGCTAGGCATCTTTATTTCTCAATAAAATTTTGATGAATATTACAGAAAAAGGAATATTCAAGAAGGCTGCATTTCACATCTCATCTCTCAAAGTTTACTCTAAAGGCACTAAAGCCTTCACTGTCCAGAATCTCAAAAAGTGGAACCACCAAGTTTGTGAGCCAAATGAATTTCTAATACATTAGAAATATAGTATGAGGGACAGTACACGTAACCTGGGAAAGAGTGTGCACTCTGAGACCACACAGGCCTGGGCTGAATTCTGGCTCTCCTAGCTAGGGCTCAGCAAACCAGCCTCACGCCCCCAAGCCTCGGTACTTTTACCATAAAAAGGGAAATCAGCTTCCTAAGAGGATATGTTCAGCCTAGCCTAAGCTTCCCCTTTTGTAAAATGGGGAGGAAAATGCCAGCTTATCTCTTGGGTTGTCAAGCAACTCAAATAAGACAAGGAATGTGAAAAATTATGTTGTAGATTTAAAGCACCATATGGTGTTAAAGATTACTATCATGGGAGGAGGGCAAAAAGATTACTATCACGTATTAGAAAATTAAATATATCTTTGTTATTATGGCATCTGAGTTAAAAACAAAACAGAACAAAACAAAGCCCTAACAGATGATAAGAGTCATCTGTTAGATATTTTTTTGCTAATAGGCTGTATCTATGCTGATACATGCTACTGAGCTTATAAATAATTAAAGTAGGATAACTGTCTTACATTACTTGAATCAGGCTGGCCAGGAAGACTGGCTACAAAATTTACGGAGACTTTTTTCAAGTCCTCTGCTATTCTTTAGAACAAATATATATATAGCAAAATCTTCTGAAATTGTACCCCAACATCCTAATAAGAGGTATCGAGACACTTTTTAAAATCCTACAAATGAGTCTGACCTAAAAATATTTTTTAAACGTCCAGGACAGTTGGACCCACGCAGCTCCGAGGAGTAGAGGCAGAGGCCCAAGGCCACGCCACCCACCGGACCGAGTGGCAGAGTCCGACAGTCCGGCAAACCCCCTGAGAACACCCTTCTTTCTTGGGTGGTGTCTCCCTGTCTATGAAACTCCTGTTTGAACGTATTTAGAAGACGAAAGGCCATTTGTAGACAGTAGTGCCTGTTCTCCAGGGTTCCAATTACGTAAATCTGCAAGGATCCCTGGAAAACAAGGGAAGGCTCTCCCTGAACCTTCTCCGGGGCACACACTAATGAATGCAATACTTTCACTGCTCTTGTTAGAGTCACTCCAGCGCTGCTGGCAAAGGAGCTTTTCTTCCATGAGCACAAATTGGTTTCCTGTATTAAAAAATGAGGAAAATCATTCCATTGATAGAAAGGCCATTCAGACAAGCTGGTCAGGAAGTACAAAAGCGGCGCTTCTCATTGCGTCATCTTACCAGTTGTACAACACCCCAGGCGCAACCAACATTATCGCTGGCCTTTTGGTCTTTTTCCTCCTATGCAACTCTTGTACATTGAGTCCTATTAACCACAAATCAAGCCACGGGAAGATGTGTGGGAATATGGATTGAGAGCAGCATCACAGGCATCTGCAGCAAGACCAGTCCTGGTCCCAAGTGAAATTATGAGGGCATTAGATAGGCATCATGTAATAAAACCAAGATACCAACTGAAAGGGACCAAAAGAACCCCGTCTCCTGCAACAAAGAAAAAAGTGTAGAACATTTATCTAGTTAGGCGGAAAGAATAAATGTTGTGTTTTGATATGACAATTACTTTCACATGAAGAGATACTTTATAAAAGACAAGAAAAAATTCATTTTAGAAAACAAGCTCAACATACTTTTACCATTTTACTCATTTGGGACACGACATCAGTCTCTAAGTTTTTAAAGAGGCAATAAAGCAAAACAAAAAAACCAGGAGCTGGAATTTAAATTTTTCCTATTCTATCCTAGTCCTTGCTTCTCTTTGTTAACAGTTTTTATCCCTAAAACAGTTTAGTTAAAGCCCGATGGAAGACGTCAGGGAATGTTTCCACTGGGAGAAGAGCAAGTCCCTAAGGCTGAGACTTAGGCTGGGGAGCAGTGGCAGAGGGCAGTGCTGAAGGGAAAGGGTGGCTGGGGAGAAACCCCGGGGCAGCTGGGAAGACAGACTGTGCCTTAGAGGTTAGCATCAGCTGGATTCCATAAATGCAGATCTGAAGATTGAAAAAAGTTGGGCAAAATAAAAAAGCACACCCCGCAAGCACCAGCCAGCCAAACAGCCAACCAACCCGACAATTATTCATTATGTTTTATCACTAAATAAATTGCAAATGGTAGATATGATACGGTAATCTCCTGTGTCCATGGATGCAAATGGATGAACCATCTTAAGGCTGGGTTCCAGCTGGCAATTCAAGTAGCGAAATCACCTGCTCAAGAAAGCCGGATACCAAGGGCCCTGCTGTCCTGAAGCTGCTTGGGGACACGGGCTGATGCAGTCAGGGCTGAACTGGTCTTGCTGCTCTGCTCTTTGCTCCAAGGCATGCAGCAAGCCCCCTTGGGTTCCCTTAGATCTGTGGCTCTGTTCTCATGGTGGCTCACAAGGAGGCATGGACTGCTGCAGCGTCTGTCTTATGTCACACCCTGCTTTTCCAAAGAGATGCCAGGCCTGGGCCATTTTGTGAAGTTTAGCAAGATTGGGTTTAATCTACGGGAGGAAAAGAATAACTATAATTAGCAATATGAAATGCCAGGTAGCATACAAGTATTTCCAAAGTATGGCTATTCAAATCTACTGAGATTTCTAATTTTTAGATTCAGAAAAGATTATAGATTTTTTTTAGGAACAGTGGGACTCAGAACTTTGTCTAGATTCCCATCTCTTCAGCACTGTTTTTCCTGTCATCTGAAACAAAGAGTTTTTAATAGAGTAAAATCAATCGGATGAGTCAGAAAACATGACTACCCCGAAAACTCCATGCAAGAACAGCCTTCACATCCCTCAGCAGGAAAGGCAGGTGGAAGGAAAGACCCTGGAAAGCGACAACATGGACATTCCCACTGTGCTCTCACCATGTTCTCTTTCACTGGAGGTGAACAAGGACAATGTTCTTAATTTCAGTCACTCCGTGCCTTTGTTGCCCCCTCATCATTCATGGGTTGCTAAGAGTCAGGGGCAAAGCACAGCATGGAGGTCTAAGCTTGGTTCCCTGCCAGATGAGCCTCGAACTGTAACTCAAGCTCCTCAGTGACAGCTAACTATGGTCCTAGGCCACAGTTCCAGTTCACAGTCCTAGTAGGTACTATCAAGACACTGGATGTCCAAAAACATATCTCAAAAATCATCCTTCACGACCAAATAGGCTTTATCCCCAGGATGCAGGGCTGGTTCAACATTTGCAAGACCAAAATGTCATTAAATACATCAACGGATGTAAAAACAAGAACCACATGATTACATCATTAGATCCAGAAAAAGCTTTTGATAAAATCCAGCATCCTTCTTGGTAAAAACCCTCAAACACCTAGGTATAGAAGGAACATACCTCAAAATACTAAGTGGCGTCTATGATAAACCCACAGCTAACATATTGCTAAATGGACAGAAATTGGAAACATTTTCCCTAAAAACTGGAACAAGACAAGGCTGCCCACTCTCACCCCTCTTGTTCAACATTGTGTTGGAAGTCCTAGCTTGGGCAATTAGACAAAAGAAGGAAATCCAGGGTATCCAAATAGGAAATGACGAAGTCAAGTTATCCCTCTTTGCTGATGATATGATCCTATATCTTGAAAATCCAAGAGAA